CTCTACTTGGAAAACTCTGAAAAAGGTCATTGTAAGTCAGAATTGACTTGATAGCGCATGATGACAACGATGACAATTTTAGAAGGAAAGAAATTAACGTGAATGTTTCCAGATAGGTTTGGCTGGGATTTTTTAGAGGCATCTACTTTTATTTCAGTGCAAATCTATAAGATGGGCTCTTGTCTCACTGCCACTGACATTGAGCATCAGCAAACAGACCATTTAAAAATATATATACTTTTGGGGTGTGTGTGCAATTTCCAGTTTCCTTCCATCCTCATGGCTGGGGGAAATTTAAGAGCTGTGGTCCCAAAAAGTAACTTTCCCAAGCTTTGTCTGGAAACTCCTATAGCCTGTGTCGTGGAACCGTTTGAGTGCTTTCAGGTAAGCGACTAGACGTGGACTGTCTGCGCATAAGATTGTCACAAATTTCAAGATGACCATGAAAGCGGATGACCTTGACATAAAAAAATTTTTCTGCCCTCTTCCGTGTCTTTTCCATAATGCTCATTATCTTGTTTAAAAATGTGAATATAAGAACTACAGAATGCGAAATATTTAATCTGAGTTCATCAAAACAAACAAGTTTTATTGAACAGAAATATTTCATGTTTACATTTCTTATTTGCACATTAGCTTACAGGGAAATAGGTATTATGGAAGAAATAGGCCCTCTAGCCTGTTGCTTCCCTGATACCCATTAATAGGCCCCGACTGGTACAGCTAATGTTCAGGAATTGTGGGAACTGTAGTCTTTTTGGACCCTTGTAGCCTGCTGTCTTTATTTCTGTACCACCTTTCGCCTGGGTGGCTCACAAATGGTTAAAAACAGAAGCTGCTAAAACCACAATAAATTGCAACATTTAGGAGCCCTTAAACCTATAATAATATTTAGAAGGCTAGTAATTTAGAAGCAGTTTAAAAATGCACCATAAACATTATTTATGTTCAGAATTCCACAAAAAAGAACAATAAATCTGCAGCATTCCATCTTTGCTCTTTCTACGTAGAGGCTGTAGGGGTTAGTATCTATCTGGCCACATGGACTTTATTTTCTTCCTGAGACCCTGGAGCGCTTCGGTCAGTCAGAAGAGGGAGTTCAGAGTGGCCAAGATAGACTGGTAGTCGTGTTCTGATCTTCTTTTACCACTGAACACAAGGCACAAGGGACCACCAAATGCCAGCTTGTTAAGTGCCATCAATCTTGTTCTGAATGATGACCACCTTAGGAGGTTTTTGAGGTATGTAGGATTTTCCAGGAAAGTTAGCTGGTGAGGTTCCTTAGCTAAGTAAAGATTTGAACACAGGTCTCCTGTATTTTAATCTGTGCTATCTACTATACCCCACTGGCTGTCCTCAAGTCATTATAGAAGTATAGGAATGGGGAACTTTTGCCTCTCCAAATTTTTTTTGGACTTCCTGCCAGAAGACCCAATTATCATGTTTGATGATGCAGGATTATGGGTGTTGTAATCCAAAACTTGACACCTGGTGTGGTTTAGCGGATAGATTGATGGACTAGAAGTCTGGAAACCAGGGTTTGAATCCCTACTCAGCCATGGAACCTCACTGGTGGAGTGAAACGGGTGAAATCCCCCCCGTGTTAGAGATGGGGATACTGTATTCGTATTTCTTGATGAATGTGAATATCCCCATCGCAGTTGGCCCTAATGAAGGTCTGACCTCCTGGGATCGGACCGTCCACTCACATGCCCTGCCGTGGGAAGGGTCCCATTCTCTTCCTGCTTGGCTGGCCACTCAGCAGCCGTGCAGGGAGACTCGTCCTCCTGCCCCGCTACCTGAAGTGGCCAGTGGAGCTCCGGGCGCCATGAGAAGGACGAGTGGGTCCGGCGCCATGGCAAGACGTATGAATGGATGGTCTGGACCCTGTGATGGGGATATTCATATATGAATAGGCATATCCCCCATCTCTAGTCCTTATATATCTCATTTACCTTGAAAGCCCTATTAGGGTCGCTATAAGTCGGGTTCAACTTGGTGGCACGTAGCAACAATCTAAAGTTCATAGAAGGCCAAAGTTTCCCCACCTGTTTTTTGTATTAACTGGTATCATCTCTCCAGAGCATCAGGCAGCAGTCTTCCTCATCACTGGTTAACTTTTCCTTTCAGACCAGAGATGGAAAATCTGTGGTCCCTCCAGACATTGCATTTCCCATCATTATTGGCTGTGCTGGTTGGAACTGATGGAAGTTAGTGTTCCACATCATCTATAGCAGACCTGGGTAAAGTGCGGCCCAAGGGCCACATACAGCCCGCAAGCTGCTTCTGTCCAGCCCGCCGGACATCAAAACCATTTATAGCTTTTTGTGTAAAGTTGATCAGTTGCTTATGTTTAACATACCGCAAAAAAACACACACCTCTTTAGTATTTGTGAAAGTTAACAAGTTTAAAATAAAAACAATCATAACATCACTGTATTCTCGAAGGCTTTCATGGCCGGGATCTGATGGTTGTTGTGGGTTTTTCAGGCTCTTTGGCCGTGTTCTGAAGGTTCTTCCTAATGTTTCACCAGTCTCTGTGGCCGGCCTCTTCAGAGGACTGGAGTAGGAACTCCGACAGAGCATGGACAGAGTTCCTACTCCAGTCCTCTGAAGATGCCGGCCACAGAGACTGGCGAAACGTCAGGAAGAACAACCTTCAGAACACGGCCAAAGAGCCCGAAAAACCCACAACAACCATCATAACATCACTGTTTCGTGTTATTTTTAAGTAAAGTTGGTTCGGCCCCCCCGAACACAGTTCAGATTTTTCATGTGTCCCCCCCTTATAGAAATTACTTGCCCACCCCTGATCTATAGGGTTGCTGGATCCTCAGCTCTCTTTTTAAATTGAGATATAAGGGATAGAATTAGAGACCTTCTGTGAGAGCAAAACCTCTAGCTGTGGAGCCAGAGTTTGGGTGTTCAATTCCCCCACGGTGCCTCCTTGATGAGGGGCTGGACTCCATAGGTTCCCTTCCAGCTCTGCACTTCTGAGATTATTATTTTCCTGATCTGTTGTCTTCCCCGAAGCCTTCCTGGATTTTGTCTCGATACGTGCCTTCACAGCTCAGGGGGTAGAGTCTTTAGCTGAGCTCAGTAGATTCCCCCCATTCTCCTTTTGAAGTCAGTGTGTGTTTGAATTGGACGAACTGTGTGCTCTTGGCTGTTCGTTGAATGAAACAACACAGAGGCGGAGTGCTTAGGCTTGCCAGATGTTTTGCAGGTGTTTCATACTGCAACTCCCATAATTTCCGATGCAGAAGCTGGGTTGGAGACCGCAGCTGGCACGTCTTTCTTCTGGATTTACAGCACTAACTGTGGCCGTTTTTTACAATTTTGTTCCTGAAAGTACACATACATGTTTTCTTCTTAATGAGCGTCCTGGTTTATTCTGTTTGAACGAACAGCCCTCCATTAAGCTGTGTTGATTAATGAGCAGGAAAGCTGGTAAGGGAGAGAAAGGTCTGAACTTTTCCTGGTGTGGCGTTCACAAAGTGGCTGCATCTTGTGTGCACAGCATGAAAATGTAGGTTTGGCATTTGAAGCCCATAGACTGTGGGGGGAAACAGAGGCATGTCAGTTTGGGGAAGAAAATCTGGCATTGAGGTAATCAGGATTTACCAGCAATAGGGGGTAAAGGTACCTTTGAAAGACCCCCTAGTGCAATGTTGTTGTTGCATGGTGGCTTCGGGGGAAGGTGACCCCCGCCTTGACTCCCCAACTGCTCTGATTTCTGGTGACTTTATTACGCACATCTTCTGCCTCTTAAAAACTTCACTGGTACTTCTTTCTTAGTGTGGTGATCGGTCGTGAACCATGCTGTTCTGTACACGGTGTGGGTGCACAGCTGGCTTGCTGACGGCTGGAGCCTCTGGGAGCCACTATGGACTTTTCTCCCTTCATCCATTCTTGCTGCAGCCAAACAGAAATGTTGATGTGGAAGATGTGCTGTGGACTGACTTGAATCTTGGCAATGGAACATCAGGTTTATATTATTATCTCGTGAGTGTTGCGAAAGTTGACTTATTGCCCTTCTTGTTTCTGCAGCTCCAGATGCAAACTCCTGCCTAGATCCTCAGAGGGCTATTGCTGCTGACCAGTGTTGATAACACTGGATCAGTGGGTAGCTCTGTATATAGAATCATTGAGTGGGAAGGGACCTATAAGGCCATCCAATCCAACCCCTTCTCTATGCAGGAATGCAAATGGAAGCAGATCTGACAGAGGATTGTCCAGTTTTCTCTTGAATGCCTTCAGCCGTGGAGTGCTTATCCCTATCATGTCATTGGTTCCATTGTAATACTCCTCATAACAGTTAAGAAGCTAGCTTCTTTACTCCTGTGCAAATGAAGCAATGTACATAGTTCCTTGTTTTCCGCAATTCTGGTTAAAGTAGTTATTTGCTGGAGCGAAGCACTGTTTGTAATGCATTCCTCTTATTTTTATATGGCCACCCAGCGGCACATTTCTCAGACAAAGGAAATGCAATATTGAAGTGCAAAGCAATAATGAAAGACATTAAAAGCCAATAAGGCACAGCATAAAACTTCCCTCTTTTGCAAAAAAGTAATTTTTATTTTTGCATCTTAAAACACCCAACACTGTTTGCACGCACAGAGAGTTTTATTTGTTTCAGCTTGTTTAAATGGCCAGGAACACCTTTTGTTTTAGTGCCCAAAGATGACAAAGGAGGAGTCTGGGTGAGCCTCTCTGTGGAGGTTGGCCCATAGCTTTTCCAAGGAGGCCATTCTGCCTCCATCAATAGGAAAGTCAACATCAAATTGCACATTATATTGACTCTGCGCTTACAATTATCTACTTCCTTTCATCAAAAGCTGCAGCTGCATTTCCTGATCATGTCCCTGGCTGGGGAATTTAACCACTTCTGTTCCATGCTGTTTTCCTTGCTAAAATCCTGCCCCCTCCCCTGCGTCCTCTTTCCTGCATATAAATGGCTCAAATCCTGTTGCTTCCTGTAGTAAATCACACTAGAGAAGGCTCATTGAATTGATGGGGATTGCCTAAGTCAGGATCCATCCAGAGCCTTCCTTGCAGCATTCCATTTTGGACTGATGCCGTTGCCTGCCCTTTATTTTTCATATGTGTTTCTGTCCCTGTCGGTGCCTCAGGCGTTGACAGTGAAGCAGCCCCTACCGGTAATTAACTTTGTTTTATCTCCTTCCATTTTTGCAGAGGGATTAAACATACCTGTCTGGCTTTTGTAGGCTTGTGAGCTGTTCTAACAGCTGAAATTCATTTTTAATGGCAAATTTAATTGCAGAGTCCACTCATTGATTCTCTATTTTACAGCTATATTAGCTGGGCTGTGGGAGTGTTAATGGTCTAGAAAATCTTCTTTAATAAAGCAAGGCCACTTTTGAGTTAGGCGGGCTGGCGGCAGAGGAAGAAATATGTAACTGTAAAGTAGGAGGTCTGTTACCTGACATGAGAATAGTTCAGAAATAGCAGTATAAATAGAGGTTGGCAACAATGGGCCACAGTAAATGGAAAACATTCAGAGGCTGTTTTCTCACAGAGAGGTTTATTACCACACCAAGAGACAACTTTTGGCTAATAGTTTTGCATTTCCATTTTTTTTTTTTTTGGCTTGTACTATTGCGGTGAAGAATGAGTTTGCCATATGGTTGTGTGAAGTACTTTGTACCACTTATTTGCTCCTAGAATGCGTTCCTTGCACTCTAATGCATGGAAACAGGGAATGGAGAGGTTTTTTTCACACTGTATTCCCAGATAGTTTGCATTCCTAGAATGCTTATTTTGTGTTAAAACAAAGCACCCTCATAGTTTCAGTTTGCTACTCTTTGCGTATGTGACGAGGTGATCCTGCGGCTTGTTGCGTGCATTCAGCTTTTGCCCTTTGGCTCCGCAATTATGTTTCTCTGCAAATGTTTGGCATATATTTTTCATAGCTTTGGCCGTTGCTGCCATAAATCTCTGTACCCGAGAAGTGAAAAATAATAATTGCAAAACAGTTTTGCCTTATGTACAAAAGAGACCTTAAATCATGGTCCATGCTGTTGATGTTGGACCACCACTTTTAGGTTGTCCAAATTGGGGTTGAGTCTTTTCTTCCTCACCGTTAATCAAAATATAACATTTATATTTCTTAACACAAACAGAACAGTGGTTGTATTTTCACAGTAAGAAGCTTGCGCAGATGAAAGACAGTGTGGCAAGAAAAAGCAAGAAAAGCTATTTTGGATTAAGTCAGTATGGATAGTCCCCCCCCTTTGTGTGATAAGTTTTCTTTCTTTCCACATTTATATTTCTCTGCATAAAGCACTTCTCTTACCAGCACCAAGGGCTAGAAAATCCTGTCATGCTCTCTAATCCCATTAGAACCAATTTAGCAGGATAGCTGGTGCTTCCCAGTCTAGCTTCCAGTGAGACCAATTGCAACCAGCCGTATCCTGAGTGACTGCTGGATCCAGCTGTAACTGGATCTTCTCTCTGTTTCTAGTTTTAATGTTATTATTAGTAATATATCCCACCTTCCTTCCAGTAAGCAAAAGGCACCATATATCACTCTGTTCTCTCTCACTTTAACCTCGCCACACTTCTGTAAGGTAAATGTCAGGCTGAGAGAGGAAATGGCAGAACCAAGGTCACCCGGTTAATTTTATAGCTTGCACTGGGACTTGAACCTGGGGATCTCCCACCAGGCTGGCCCTCTTAATGACTACACCGCGCTGGTTCTTTATGTGGACTGTAGCTACGGTGTTGTGCTTAGCGGGGCTGAAAGACTTCAGACGGTCAGATGCGGCCCTGAAGTGGCACTTGAGAGAAAAATATTTCCAATGTAATCTTAACAGCATTGAGTAGAAAAGCTTGTTACTATTATTTCCCAGGCCTTTTGAATAAAACATCTGATAGGATAACCTCAAACGGCATTGACTTTCAGTTCCTGTGGTCACCTTTTGATAACCAAAAACTCCTTGCTAGACTGGTTCACCGACATTTAGCAGGGTAACAACAGCACTGAATATTCCTGCAGCGGGTTGTTAATTACACCAAGTATTTCCTCCTGCATTGACGGTCCCTTTTATACATAGATAGATGGGGAGTTAATGATAGATACAAATTTCCCACTTTATTCAAGGGCATGTGTGGAAAGCCTAGACTTCTGTTGTGTGTATGTTGTGTAAGTGCCCAATCCTGCAGGGCCATGTGAACCTTTTCGTTATTAAATTGTGTCCAGGAGCCCGGTGGTGAACTATAGCTCCTAGTGGCTTCCAAAATCAGCAGTATAAAGCAAATTTCTTTATTCGTGAAATGATGACGGGACCCCGGGGTGGAATGGGAGATGCAGAAATTGGGATTACAGAGCCCAGCTATGATTGATTGATTGTTTGATTATATTTTTATTCCACCTTCCTTCCAATGAGCTCAAGGCAATATACATGCTATTTCCTTCCCTCCCTGTGAGGTAGATCAGGCTGACGGAAAGCAACCAGCCAGTGAATTTCATTGCCAAATGTGGATTTGAACCCATGTCTCCTGAGTTCTAAATCAGCTCTCCAGCTATCACATAGCGCGGCTTCTAATGGCTCCTTACTCTACAAGGCTACTTTTCCCCATGGCCTCATTTATTGCCTGAGCTGAAAAATATAAAGCCCAACCCATAGATTGTGACTCTTTTTGTCACTGATTCGGTTCTGCTAATAGAAAGAAAATAGCAGATTCCATAGATGGATGAAACAGGATTTCTTTCCCCCCCCCCCCCCCGCCCCGAGACCTGTGTCACAGTGGGCAGGAACAGGAGGTTTAAAGCTCTGATCTTTGCATGCTGAGATCTGTATCAGAGGTTGGGAGCTGCTTTTTAGAGTACAGCTCCCAGAATCCACCCACCAGAATGACCTCTGCCCATGTGCTCTGGAAGCTTCTAAAAGCTGTGATCTAAAAAAATGTACAGTGGTGTAATTCGTTCTGCGAGTAGTGCTGTCTTGCGAAATTTTCATCTTGCGAAAAGCGGCTTCCCACAGGAATTCATTGCATTTGTATGGGAACCTCGCAAGACGAAAATAATTCATTCGTCTTGCGAGGCATCGGTCTTGCGAAAAACATTAGTCTTGCGAAACACGGCCATAGAAGAAGCCGTCTTGCGAGGCACCATAGTGTTACCAGCCAAATCTGAATTCAGATTAGACCAGTACTGGGTTCGAGTTCTCCGGCAAGGATCACAGGCTAAGGCACAAGACAGCTGAACAAGCCAATTTTATTAAATTACAAAAGTTCAGCTGGGCCTCCCATCTTAAAAGCAGAGGGA